GACATTTGAGTAAAAACATTGTTGGAATCTATTAAATTTTGACAAAGTTATGGGCATTTAAAAAAAAAATTCTCACTGTCAATTCGAATAACCGATTTTTGCCTGAAAAACAAAATGGCGTTTAATTCGGCCGAAAAATTTATCCGAGCCAAAAGAAGAAATACGTGTCTCATTATTTGGACCAACAAACAATGTATTTGAGTTTGGTCGAAATTAAAAATCATGCTCGTACCTGACCGGTTGTCTGGAAACGGAAAGCATCTATGTAAATGAAAAAATAACAAAGTGCATGAGAACATGTTTCCGAAAAAATTAACAATGATCCTTGAAACTTATTTATACGTCCCCGTTAACTTTCAACAACAGCAATTTTTCGAAATTGTTGTCAGAAAGCGTTCCCAATGTAATTCGGACATTCTGCTGAACGAAAGACTTACGACACGAACCTTTCTTGCACAGAAAGTGAAAAATTGTTCCAAGAAATGGACAGTTCACCCTAACAATAAACAATCTTGAAGTTGAAATGATCAAGACTTTCTGGCTTACAATTAAAAGACGGGGTTTCCACTCAAACAATTTCTCATCACAACACGCGGACATCCCTCATTCTTAACATTAAGTTCTCAAAACTTTTGTTCTCGTGATTCGTAGCTACGCTACGAAAAACATGCTGCAACCCTTGCGGAAACATGTGCAGCATTGCCAGCTATCAGTTGATTTCGATGATAGCTGAATGAAGGAAAACAAAGTGGAAAAGAAATAAAAAAAAAACACTCATCATGTGTTTGTTTATTGTAAAATTGGTTAATTTTACAATATTTTGAGGAAAATTATGGGTTCTGATGCATTTGCAATTATAGCAGCAGAGTAAGAGGGCGCTATGGCAATGGATTCACAAAGGTATGCGGGGCTGTCGGGCATAGTCACCATGGGCCCATCTATGTTAGCTTCTGGTTGAATTGTTGAACCACAAGCCGGAACTCCTATGCCTGAAGCTCTGGTTCTCAATCCAGTTAATGCAATAACAGTTTCTTCCAAGCCATTGAAAACGTGCACTTTGTTAGGTCCACCACCTGTTGCGCTTGCTTCTGCCTTCGGCCGCGCTTAGGAAATATAACCCTTACTAAGTAGAATTCTCCTTTCTGTGTTGCGGGGAAGAGGGGCTTTCGCATGTCAAAGGTATACAACATTTCTTGTGCATATCGCTCCGGCTACGCCGTCCACAGTATTTTTGCGCAGAACCCACGTCGAAATTTGCAAAAAAGTACATAGTGCAAACCGAGTTTATTAATAAGCTAGTGGTAGGAAATTTGAAACATTTATCTTAAATAATATGTGAATCCTTTGATTACACGTATATGTTAAAGTTTTTGGATTCGGGTTATGCGTTTGGACACAACTACCGAAACTCATTGTACAAATAACTAAACTGGACCCAAGTTTCTCGATAACGGGCAACAAAGATTCTTTTTTGCTCGTTTATATAAAACAGTGTATAAAAATATACGTATATGCGAAAGGCAAATTTATCTGTTTAAATGAACACCACCAATATTTCTTGTAAACACACATCGATTTACATCTTTTATTACGCCTCCGACACAGAATTGTTTTCGTACAAAATTACGCAAAAAAGCTTACTCGTTCGTTTTTAGGCATGCCATTGTTACGAATTTTGAAAGTTAAAAAATACGATTCGGATTGCAGCATACCATTTCTACGATTCGTATCAAAATCCGAATACGAAAGAGTTGCAGAATAGGGGTGATTACCTTTTTTTTTACATGCAGAAATAAACCAAATCCGGAACGCGTTCTCGGTCCCTGAAAAACATTCAAAGTACTGCAAAAGAATGCATTCCAATGTCTGAAATCAAATGGCTAACAAAAAGTTACTAAAATAATGCAATCCAATGGCTGAAATCAAGTGACTAACAAGAAATTAATAAAAAAGTGTGTTATGAATCATAAATCAAATACTAATTTTTTTTAGTCAGGACTAACGAAAAATTATTGCAATCACTCGGGACTTCAATCAAATGAATAATTTAGTTAAAAATGTTTGCATTCTTTTACACCTCTGCTTTGTAGTAATAATTTTCCATCAATAAATAGCTGGAGAATATTGGGCTACTCTCTGTCAGATAACTAGATATACATACATACATATATCCAAAAAGTGAAAATTCCGAATTGAAAATCTGCATTTATTATTCAAAATTCCTGTCTGGCAGCACCAAGTTTGCTGTTATTTTGCTACCTTGTTCATCGTTTATACGAAAACTTTAGCAACAAATTATATAAAAACTATAGGGTTGCTAGAAAAAAGGGCGATATTTTTGAAATCAGGAGGTCCTATTCTAACCCCCCTCATCCCTACTTTTTCTAGAATTTGCCGTTCGCATACGAAAAGTACCTTTTTTAAATTTGAGATTTGGAGACAAACTGCATTTGTCCGAAAAAATTTCTGAGCAAAATTTAAGGCATACATAAAGATAACCAACCGTTCAGCTATAGAAAAACTAAAAATGCAGAACGCTAGTACTTTTTACGATGATTTTAACTATATAAACATTATTTCCCGCAATTAAAAAGTAAAGTAGATATAAGGGGTAAAACAAAAAAATTTTGATATTTTGAAATATTAATATTTTCTAAACTGCGTAACCGATTCAAAAGATAATGATGTCACAATTAATTTATCTTAATTTTGATATATAAAATGTGTATGCTTGTTTATATATTTAAGCCAAAAATATTATAAAACAAAAAAAATGTCATAATTTCATAAAATAACCTTTTTTTAAGAAAAAGTCCATTATCAATGATAGCAAGTTTACATTATATTGAAAGTGCCAGTTTTTACCTTTAATTTGATATACATATTATATTATAATTTGCTTTTGAGTTTTCACAATTCAGTGATAATAAAAAAAGTAAATGCATGCATGTGCAAATGCATATTGTAGTTAATTAAACAAAGCGAGTTTCGGATTTTTTTGGAAGGGGTACTGTTTTTGTAGCAAGCGGGAAATTTATTCTACTTAGTGAGGGTTATAATCATTAATTGCGGCCGAAGGCCACCTACGCAGAAAGGTGTTCTCAGTAAAAGGTGTTCAGCCTGGCTTCTTTGGCAACACAGAAAGGTGAATTCTACTTAGTGAGGGGCGGCCCACTTCTTCGGCAACACAGAAAGGAGAATTCTACTTCGTGAGGGTTATAATCATAAAGTTCGGCCGAAGGCCGCCTACGCAGAAAGGTGTTCTCTGCCAAAGGTTTTCAGCTCCGCTTCTTCGGCAACACGGAAAGAAGAATTCTACTTTGTAAGGAGTATGTTCCCTAAGCGCAGCCGAAGGCCGCCTACGCAGAAAGAAGTTCTGGGCAAAAGAAACTATGATATCACCCACCCTTGCCTTTTGCTTGTAAATGCTTTTAAGTTTTTTATCACTGAATTCTTAAATCTCAAAAGTAGATCATAATAAAATATGTATGTCAAATTAAAGGTAAGAACTTGCACTTTCTAAATAGTATATATGTCTTTAGCATTGATTATGAGGTAATTTTATGAAATTATAACATTTTATTTTTTTTTTTTTAATATTTATGGCTTAAATATGTAAACAAGCTCTCAATTTTATATATCAACTTAAAGATAGATTAATTGTCTTTATTTTGACAGCAATACTTTTTTAATCGGTTACGTAGTTTAGTAAATATTAATATTTTAAAATATCGCAAAGAAAATTTTAACCTCCTATATCTTCTTTACTTTTTATTTGCGGCAAATAATATTTGTACAATTGAAATCAGCGTAAAAAGTACTATCGGTCTGCATTTTTAGTTTTGCCATAGCTGAACGGTTGGTTATCTTGATCCCAATAAACCCCGAAAAAATATTTCTCCAACCTTGGAAAATTCATAGTTCTCAAGTTGATATCCAACATCATTCCCCAACTCATCCTTAACCGATGCGCAGATGCGTAAAAAGTGATAAAGATACGAATTTTTAATTATCAAGTGAAAAACTAAGGCTATATAGAGGGCAAAACTACCAACGAAAAGTAAATAATCTTCAAAGTATCCTCAAATATTCTTGAAAGAAAATAAAACGCGAAGTGAATCAAGTGGCCAAATTACTGTCGGACTGTATACTGTGAAGTGAATTATTGTAATACGATATTGATTAACTACATAATAAAAATCGAGTAATAAAATGAAAAATTAATATTTAAATTAATCTATATGTCGTTTCAATCAAAATGGTATAAGGTATTTTAGTATTTCAATTTTAGTATTTCAATGATATGTTTGACATCAATTGGAGAATTACATTTGAGTTCAAGTTGAGAACTAGCATTTTCTCAACTTGAGAAACAGTCCTTTTTTCCTACAAAAACAAATGCCCTTTTTGTTGAGAACGCTATGATCCTCCACTTGAGGTACTGTTGAGAAACAACGTTGGAGATTTGAGAAATACCTTAGTTCTCAACTTAACCTCAAGTTGAGCTCAAACCTAAATGTTTATTGGGATGTGTTCCAAATTAAACTTGGTATCGGGTTTTCATACGAGTACTTTTTTTCGATACCTACCCAGTACTTGGTTCAAAAGTATCGATGCCAAAATAAATGGTATCGAACGAAAAGTATCGAGTATGTACTTGTATTTACTCTTATAGCTTCATCACTAGTTGTGAGTGTTATTTCCAAAAATGCAGTAGTTTACTTAATAAATCTAAGATAAAGCAGTGTTTGTTGTCATATTAATCTTTACAAGCAGACGTCATGGAAACAGAAAGCAATAAACAGAAAATTGAATTGGGGGATTTGAAGAAATGTGGCGAAATTACTACACTTTTGTCAGTGGGCAAAAAAGAATTTTTTCTCAATTGTGGCTTCTGTGACTACACTTTTCTTCGTTTAGAAAATTTCATTAGCCACATGTGTGAAGATCATATGTTTCATTTCATTGGACCAAAAAAAGAAAAAACTGATTTGCCTTTGGATTTAAACGAAGAAAATGAAGATGCAGATTTTAATATGCAGTCGTCATATACGGTTGAGGTAATTTATAAATCACACATACATATAGTGTACATACATTGGGCAAATTAATTTTGGTAAAATTGTGATAACGAAAGTTAACCTGGTTTAAACAACAAAAAGGAAATATAAATTAAAAAGTGTAGCTGCTAAGTAGCATCTTGAGTAAGCGAAAAACGCTGGAACGTCCTTGTTGTTGTTGTAGCGGCTACTAAACCCCGCTCGGGTCGGTTCATCCATCAACGTTATTGTTGTTGTTGTAGCGGCTACTAAGCCCCGTTCGGGGCGGTTCATCCATCAACGTTGTCGTCTATTTCAGCTAGGGGGAGGCCCAGGAAGTGTGCTACTTCTAAAGGGGCTGTCCACAGGGACAGGGGCGTTAGCTGAGGGGGGTTCTCAGGGCATGCGAAGAGGTGCCGGGAGTCATGTGGCGACTCTCCACATGCCGGGCATTGGTTGGCCACATCCTCGTTGATTCTGCTCAGGTAGCTATTGAGCCTGCTGCAATAGCCAGAGCGAAGTTGGGCTATTGTAGTGCGGGTCTCCCGAGGCAGACAAAGTTCTAACCCGTCCACGTCCGGTGGTTGTGTGCCTAGAACGACATTCACAGGCCGGGAGTCTACGTAAGTTGAGACTGATTCCGTGTGAATGCTGTTCAGGGCCTGTCGGTAGGTTGACGGGTGCAGAGGTTGTTTGATATACCTCTGGACTTCGTCTGTCAGTTCCTAAAGATGCCTCCTGACGTGCCGTGGCGAGGGCTCTTCCGCGAGCAGTTGCCCGCTGGGATGGCCACGTCTGTGGCTGAAGCCCCCTACGCATAAAAATGTTCTCTGCAAAAGGTGTCCAGTGCCTTTTCTTCGCAACACAAAAAGAGAATTCTACTTGTGAGGGATATAATCCCTAAGTGCGGCCGAAGGCCGCCTACGCAAAAGGTGTTTAGGCCCTTCTCTTCGCAACACAGAAAGAGAATTCTACTTTGTGAGAAGGCCGCCTACGTAGAAAGGTGTTCTCTGCAAAAGGAGTTCAGCCCCCCCTTCTTCGGCAACACAGAAAGGAGAATTTTACGTCCTGAGGGTTATAATCCCTAAGTGCGGCCGAAGGCCGCCTACGCAGAAAGGTGTTCTCTGCAAAAGGTGTTCAGCCCCCTTCTTTGGCAACACAGAAAGGAGAATTCGGTAATTCTCTAGGGTGGGGTAACAACTCCTAAAAAAGGTGCGGAAAAGTCGGGAGGGGTACCAAACGACGCGTTTCGGCCCCCCTAATAACAATCCGGAGGGGGGAGATAATATTATTAACCATTTAAAAGTTATGAACGAAAAAGTTTTGTTAAATTTCGTTGTTTTCTATGGGCAATTACACCGACAAAGATTCACTAAATCACCTTTTCTCACTTTTTAAACACTATTAAAATATATAACTTAACTTATTTATTAAAGAAACACATAGTTTTATCAACCTAAGATAGATTATTTTGTTATTAAAAAGAAGTTGACAATCTTCGCCAGCTGAAACCCGAGGTTCCAAAATAGCTATAGTGCTGCCACTGTATTAGTATTTCGTAATATTTCACTTTTCCTTATGAGATGTGTGCACTGTTCAATGCTTTTCGGTTGTTGTTGTTGTTGTTGTAGCGGCACTACTAAGCCCCGCCTGTTTCGGGTCAACTTTTCAATCATTATCGTCGAGCTCAACTAACGGTAGGCCCAGGAAATGAGCTGTTTCGATGGGGTCGGACCAAAGGGAGAGAGGTGTTAGTTGAGTCGGATTGAGCTGGCATGTGAAGAGGTGGTTGGTGTCGTGGGGGGAGTCTCCACATGCCGGGCACTCATTTGGGATGTTTGGGTCGAGTCTGGACAGGTAGCTGTTTAGGCGGCTACAATATCCAGACCGTAACTGAGCCAGAGTAACGCGGGTCTCTCTAGGTAATTGAAGCTCCGTCACTTCCACAGGTGGTGATTGGGCTCCGATAACGACATTCCTAGGCCTGGAGTCGAGGTAGGTGGAGACTGACTCCCTATGAATGTCGTTAATCGCTTGTCTGTACGTCATTGGGTCCAGTGGTTGGTTTGTGTAGGTCTGGACTGCGTCCTTGTACACGAATAGGTGCCCCCTGACGTGCCTGGGCGGAGGCTCCTCCTCCAGCAGTGGTCTGTTAGGTGTGACACCTCACCAGAAACTGCTTACTGAGCATTTTATTGTGTTCCCGTACGGGGAGCACTTGGGCCTCGCTGTGTAGGTGGTGCTCAGGCGTCATCAGAAGGCACCCAGTCGCTGTCCGGAGTGCGGCGTTCTGACAAGTCTGTAGCTTCGTCCACTGCGTCCAACTAGTCCCCGGTGACCAAACAGGCGCTGCATAATTTAGAACCGGCCGGCCAATTGCCTTGTATGTTGCCAGCAACGTTTCTTTGTCTTTGCCCCAAGTGCTGCCGGCGAGCGACTTGAGGACCTTGTTGCGTTCCCACGACAGTCGGGTCTACGTAACCGGAACGACCCAGATTTATATCTGGCCAAGGACTGTCACTCCAGCAACACTCCCCAAAAAGTCTTTGGGGAATTTGTATGCTGCTACAACAACAACAACAGGACCTTGTTGCGGCTCTGTACTTTGTTGACAACTGCGGTTGTGTGCGCGGTGAAGGAGAGCAGGCTATCAAAGGTAACACCTAAAATTTTTGGGTTGTTCACCGTCGGTATAGGTGTGCCGTCGACGTGAATGCCTAATTCTAGCCTGACCTCCTTCGTCCAGGTGGTGAAGAGGGTCGCCGTTGATTTCGTTGGGGAGAGGGTTAGGCTCCTTGCAGTGAAGAAGCGAGAAAGGCTGGAGAGATAACCGTTTACTTTTGAGCAGAGGTCATCAATTCCATTCCCAGACGCCAAAATCGAACAATCATCAGCGTACGAGATCAGGGAAACTCCTTCAGGTGGCTGGGGGAGTTTCGAGATGTAGAAGTTAAAAAGTAAGGGGGAGAGAACACCACCTTGTGGAACCCCTTGTTTTATTCTTCTTGGTTTCGAGGTTTGATCTCTGAAGATTACTGATGATTGTCGACCACTCATATAATTCGCCGACCATCGCTTCAGTCCCTGTGGGAGAGAGGAGGCCTCAATGTCTTCTAGCAGCGTGGAATGGCAGACGGTGTCAAACGCCTTTGACAAGTCCAACGCTACTAGGACAGTTCTCTCACAGGGGCGGTTTCGATTTAGGCCACGAGTTATCTGGGTGTTTATGGCGTTAAGTGCTGTTGTTGTGCTGTGCACTTTACGGAAGCCATGCTGATGTTTCGCTGGGGTTAGGTGGCAGGTGAAGTATGGGAGCAGCAGGGCCTCAAGTGTCTTCGCGACCGGGGAAAGGAGCGTTATCGGGCGATAAGAGTCTCCTCTGTTGGCGGGCTTCCCCGGTTTCAGCAGTGGGACCACTCTCCCTGATTTCCACACGTCAGGAATGATGAGAGTGGTCATAGACAAATTGAGGACCTCCGTGAGGTATGCTACTCCCACAGGCCCCAAATGTTTCAACATCAGCATACAGATTCCGTCGGGTCCAATTGCTTTGGAGGCTTTCGCCTTCCCGATGGCCCCCTTCACTTCACCGCTGGTGAAAACAAGTGGTGCACTGTTTTTGGGCAGTTTGTGCAGCCTCCTGGTCACTCGACGTTTGGCCTTGTCTAAAATAGTTCGCGCATTTCTTCGGGTCCGATGAGGCGTGACCTTCGAATGAGATTTCCACTGTGTCATCACGCTTTGTCGGGTTGGACAAGGACCTCACGGTTGACCAGAGCTTACTCACACCCGAGGTGAAGTTACAGGCCTTCAAGTGCTCTTCCCACTTTTTCCGCTTATGTTGATTTACCAGTTGCCGAATCTCCAAATTAAGGTCCCTCAAGCGAGGGTCCCCGGTGTCGACCTGGCGTAGGTGGTCACGCTCATTTGCTAGAACAGCTGCTTCAGCCGGGAAATTTGGGCGGACTTCCGCGATGCGTCCGGAAATTTGTTAGGTAGGTGTATTTTTATTGTCGGAACCGGAAGAATCGGGCCACTATAACATATAGCTCCCATACAACTGATACTTCAGATATGAGATTTTTCGCCATAACTCCTCCATTTAAGCAGTTAGGAACATGAAATTTTGCATTACTTCCGCCCATTATCAACAGAATACTTACAGTGAAAATTACAAAGATCGGGTCACTATAATCTATAGCTCCCATACAACTGATTGTTCAGATATAAGATATTTCGTTATAACTCCTCCATTTATGTAGATAGGAACATGAAACTTTGCACTGCTGCCACTCATTATCAGAAGAATACTTACGAAGATCGAGTGCTAATAAGAGAAAGGTAAAAATGAAATCAATCTACCTGCTTGGTCCTGAAATATAAGCATTTAAAGAGTGTCGTTATACGTGACGTGACGTGGCGTCACGTGACATAAATTGCCATCGTTATATTTTTGTTCATATTGCTTTTAAATGAATTTTTAACGCAAATAAAACATGTATATTACGTCGAATATACTTTATATTTTGACTTCAGCGCCAATTCAGGGTCAATTTGTTGGAAATCTATGATTTATTGTCTTTCAAATACATACGCCAAATTCGAACCAAATCGGACCATAAATACAGTTTTTCGAAATATCTCGACCTTGGCACCACCTAGAAAGACCATTTTACGCAAACGTTATTCTACTTACATAGGCAGCATACATTTTAAAAAGCAGATAAATCGGCCCGTAAATACGTTAGATATAAAACTTAAATTTTTTTTGTCGTGGTGGACCTTCCGCTGGAAACCCCCATATTTTGTTATAATTTCTCCATTTATGCAGCTAGGAATATGAAATTTCGCACCGTTTTCACTCATTATTAACAGAATACTTACAGTGAAAATAACAAAGATGGGGTCACTATAACATACATATATCTCCCATAGAACTGATTGTTCAGTTATGAGAACTTTCCTTATAACTCCTCCATTTGTGTATGTAGATAGGAACATGAAATTTCGCAAAGTTTTCACCCATTATCAAAATAATAATTACAATAAAAATGACGAAGATCGGGTCGCTATAACCTATAGCCTCCATACAACTGATTGTTCAGATATGAGATTTTTTGTTATAACTTCTCCATTTATGCAGCTAGAAACATGAAATTTCGCAATATTTTCACTTATTATCAACAGAAAGTTTACAGTAAAACGAACAAAAATGGGCTCACTATAACCTATTTATTACCTCCATAAAACTGGTTGTTCAGATATGGGGTGTTACTGTGAAACTCCTTTGTATGGACAGCTAAATCCGATAAATTTACACAGTCTACTGAGAAAATCGTCAAAATCTATGCTGTTTAAGCTTTATATCCTATACCACTGATTGTTCAGATACCAGTTTTTGCGATATATCTCCCTTATGTAGGAAGTAAACCCATTAAATTGTGTTACCGGTCCTAGCACAGAAATCAAAAGCTCTTTTTTTGATAAATTATCAAAATTGAAAATGCTATTGACAAATTGAAATTTCATGTGAAATGTATAAATTTTGTATATTAACAAAATTTGTTTCTAACAATTATATACCCCATGAACCGGCATTTGAACCTGCGACACACGGAATTATAGTCGACATTTTTACCCACTCGGCTACGGCAGCCAAAAGATTTTTTGCTTTTAAATTCATATTTTTCATATGTGACAATGAAATCAGTTCCACTCATGTGGAAATCAGTTCCACTCAAGTGGAAATCGTACAGCATTTTGTTTCATAAATATTGACACAGAATGCGATACTTGATACTTTACTTGATAAAAATCAAGGCGAATTCATATAAGGTGGTAGCGGTAGTACAAAAACAAAAACTAACATGTCTTTTGTTTTCGTTTTCGGTACACAAATGTCAAATTCCAGCTATTCTTCGCTCAAGGAGGAAGAAAGAAAGAAAATGCCAACACTCTTTCTTTCGCATTCACTCATAAGGAGTTTTGACATATGTGTACCGAGGCGACTTAAAGCAGCTGTTCTAGCAACACCACCTTATATAAATTCGCCTTGATAAAAATCTTGATAAAATTTCTTTAAAAAAAATGTATCAAGAAAACACAGAATTTGGCGGTTAGTTTCAACGTAACAAAGAATCTTGAAAAAAATAATTGAGCGTAAAGTGACATTGTTATATGGGGACAGGAGACCTGTTAAGGTCTTCTAATCTCTCTAAAGTGTTGTGTTAGGTTTATGTTTTCTTCAGTAAATGCCTCAGTTTATAAGCTTTGTTTTTCTTTTATTATTTGTTGGTTGAAAGATTGATCTGAACCACGTAAGCTCCAAACTCTGGTAAATTCGTCGGCTATACATTTGTTGTTCGTGAATATCGGTAGGAAATTACTGTTCTGTTTGGACTTGATATTTCTTATTTTTCTCCATAAAGTTCGTGGGTCCATTGACGGGTTGAGCGAATTTACGAACTTTTCCCAAGTATTTTTCTTTGCTTCAGATTTCGGGAAATCTTTTGAAATCCAGGTGGATTTCCCATATATTTTCATGATTTCGATTTCTTGGATTTCAATCAGATTTCAATGAAATCCTATCGAAATCCTCACTTTTTTCACTTGAAATCTCAAAATTCTTTACATAAACAAAAGTACACAAGCCCGGTGGAAAGAATTGAAACAGGTTTTTAAGATTTCGAGATCGAAATATGAGATTTCAGTGCAGTGGGAATATAATATTCGGGCATGAGCTACAAATTGTACGATTTGAAATCGGTGTCATTTGCAAACTATTTTTGAATACTGGTAAGGAGGGACGTAAAGAATACTTCAATTGTAAACTGCGATTCAGTGCCAAATTTTGCATGGCGGAATGTTGCCAGATGAAATTAACTGAATATGAAGTAAACTGCATCAAAAAATCGCTACTACATTTTTTTTTCTCCGTACCAATTTGATCTTATCTCACTGGGCTAAAAGCTTAGTATATAATTGTATAGTATTTAATAGAAAGAGAAATTTTTTCTCGAAAGCGATTTTCGGTCTTTTAGTTGCAGTTACACCTTGCACTCTTTGTTTCTTTCTGCAAATCAGCAAAAAGGACCTTTTTGGGTGTTTACACGGAAAAATGAACTTTCCTTTTCGAATTTTGACAGCAAAAGCGTTTACATTTCCACGTCTAACCGCACTTTTAAGCATTGCACTTAATAACCTAATGTATGCAAGGAATTTTATCGAATAACTGAAATATTTATAAACGAATCACCAAAACCCAGAATTTCAACTCAATTATTTCTGTAAATTTATCTGTTGTGCAGGAAATCGATGATAGTGCTTCTAATTTACGAGACTTCGAGAGAGTTGAAATAGAGTTGGATGACACCAAAATGAGTGACTCGATGGATGTAAAGGATTTATTTGGGGATAGATTTATGAGCGAAGAGAGTGAAGAAAGCTCAGATGTAAGCTGATAATTATGATATTTGAAATAGCACTTCAGTTTGAATGCATTTTCTTTGAATAGGATGATGACTTGGAAAACTCCGATGATGCTGAAATGCCCGAGAAAGTTCTCAACCCCAACGATGACGCGGAAATCGCTGATAGCTTAAAGGTATGGCAGTTAATATATGTGCATATGTGTTTGCCTCCCTTATTTAGTATTTAATTTCAATCCCTTCCATTCACAGGCATTAGATGTTGAGAACAAGTTTGATAAAAAGATGGTACTTCGAATATTTAAAAGTTTTGAAAAACGACCAGCACTTTGGGATGTAGATGTTACATTAACTAAACATTCTAGAGAGAAAGAAATAAAGAGTATTGCTATGGAAGTAGGCACTCCAGCTGAATGGGATAGCGTTCGTAAATTACTTGGAAAATTAAGTTCCAGGCTTCGAACAGAAATGGTACGAAAAAAGATTTACGAGTCAAAAGGCAAAGCATACACCCCTATTTGGTATTCAGACCTAAATACGTTTCTAAAACCGAGGAGACCAAGCGGCCGGGTAAGTGCGAGCTTTGATAAATTATATTTTATATGGCTATGTTATGCCAATAATAAATATGGGGTTAAAAAATCTAACAAATCAAAGAAATTAAAGGTTGTTGTTGTAGCAGTGAAAAAATAAGCAAAAACCAAAGATTAAAGCGTATTTTTATACCCAGATACTCATGCGATTTTGATGCAGCGATTTATTCCAACATTCACAAGCATTCGTCGTGGCGAAATTGCAATCTGCCGCGTTTCGAAAAGGAAAATGTCGATAGATGGTTTTTGTGAAATTAAAACAAAATTGAAAATAAGAATAGCAAACACGATTCAATTTTAATATTTGAAGAGAAATATATTTTTTGCATCTAACTCAATTATTGGAGATAAAACAAAGTCAAGTTGTTTAGACCATCAGTCTAAATATCTACACAAAGTAATGACCAGCCCCAATATTCTGACAAATTAGGGATCCGCCCTAATGTTAGCATATGTAGACACACATACATATACGCGCTAACACTATTATTCCGACCGTTAACTATTATATCACGCCGGACAGTGAACTTTCGTTAAGTTTCCCCTTGAAGTGGTAGCTAACTGTCCGGCGGTATAAAGTAAAATTCGGTAAATCCTTTACTTCACTTTTTTTTTGGAAGATCAAAGCGGAAGCATCGCAGCTACCAGGCCTCTTCACTACAGGTAATCTGATTGTCACGAGAAGCAAATATTCTTAGTTTTTTTAAATAATTGGACGCCAATAAACATTACAAAATATTAATCCAATTGCGTTTTTATATACTTTCTATTCTCTTTAATAAAACCACTGGTGCGCTCAATCGGAATCCCTGCGAGGCAACTGGGTTTCTTCACAAGTTGATTTTTCTATGTATTTTTTTAATATTTTAAACAAACACATTTTTTGCCAATATTTACATTTGAAAGTTATTTTATTCTGGGGTCCCACATGCGTATACAAGTACTAGGTGGCTGTGTGAAAATTACGTTAGCATTCCTTAGTGGTGGTTTTGCTCCCTCGCATCGCAATGTTTTCTACACAGGGTTACAGTTCCCTCTTTATGGTAAACATTAGTATTATTTTTCACTACATTCGGTTCTCCTTAGAAAAATTTGGCGCTTCATATTTTAGTAGAAATTTTAACCAACTATAAGCCATTTTTTTTCAACAGTGGGTCAAAAAGTCCCGTTCTGGTTCGAGTTGATGGGTTAAAAAAGGAGACCAACCTTGTTTTCAATATGTAATCCGCCAAAAATCGTAACAACTCCGTAATTTAACATAACGGTTGATAAGATTATTGCAAAAATTTATTGAGAGCGACATAAATTACCCCAATAACTAAACTTTTAAAGTTTTTTTATTTCTTTAAATTTAAATATGTTTTCTACAGATCCGTGTGTGTATGTATGTATATACCTCAGACCTTCTTCTGTTCGCCCATCAATCAGCGCCAAACACTCGAAATTTTAATTCAAGTAGGAAGTAGCAATATTTAAATTTAAAACTAATTCAATCATGAAATAAATAGAGTTTTAATAATAGAATAATTGGCATGGCGAATGCCTAACGCTGACGAGTTGAAATGATAAGATTAGTAGCCTCATGGCTCTTTGAAATTTACCTTATGAGCAGTTGCGTCGGCGTTTCCAGACGCGCCGGCATNCACGTATACATTTAAATTCGGTATATTCAATGACAGGAAGACTAACTTCCTCGGATGGTATCGATGAATGCACCGCAAAAAGAACACCACCGCCGATTCTGCCCACGCGGTCACTCCTGTATATTTGATATTCATTTGGAAGAATTTCGGAATTAAAAATATGAGGTTTGAGCCATGTTTCGGTCAAGGAAATAATATTATAATTGCAGTCAAAACCTTTTAAATATAAGTCAGTTAATTTGGTATTCAAACCTCTAACGTTTTGATAGTGAATACTTAAATTAGACTTGCGAGTTAGTTTTTTGAATACGAATTAAGATTAGGAATTTTAGCAACGTTATTATTACTTTTATTAAGTTTACACTCAAACTCGCGAACAAACGCCCCGGTCAACCAAAATGAGCTATTTAGTAGTGAATCAAAATCTTCGGAAGCTACATCAATTTTAAAAGATGAAATATCGCGATCGTACTTAAAATTAAATTTACGAATAAATACATCTTTAATTTTAATTTTAGTCGATATGTATGACTTTATATCATCCGAAGAAGTATCTTTCGCAAATCTAGAGACAAAGATTGATCTTCTCGGAGGAATTACAACCAACTTTTTGGTAATGATGTCTGATGTGCGGGGCTCCGAATTATTCGGAGGAACTAAGTTAGACAGTGCAGCTTCAGATGTTGATGGCAACACTGTTAAATCAACGGTTTGACTATTTTTAGAAGTAGACCTAGTGGATATGGCTTTAGATAGCGGGGGCTCCAATGCCTGAGGTCATGGAGAAGATAGATTAATAAGTTCCAAGGACTGGGATGGAGGATTTTTGCGACTAGATTCAGTGGCTGTCTTCATATCCTTCCTAAAATAAAAGTTAAACGTGGTGAGCGGTTGAATGGTAGAACAAGAA